CCTTACGTAGAGGGTTCGAATCCCACTGTGGGACGTGGAGACCGGTCCTTCGGATGAGACCGTATAAACTGAGGTCCCGTGTCGCAGTAGGTGCTGGCACGAAAAAGATCCCTCACTGCTCAATGGCCGTACGTGCCGAGTATAGGTAAAAATTTGTAGCTCTCCACCGGCAAGTGGTGGCGTCTCCATATGAGTGAAAAATTCTCGAGAGGGACGTTAAACAACATAAACAAACAAACAAAAACACAACCACAGTTCAGATCAAAATGAAATTTGGCACACATTTAGTCATAAACATGTTCTATAAATAGCAGATATTTGCTCCACGTTTGGACGTCACAATATAAAAATGACTCAATATGTAGACGACATGACAAAAAAGGCTGACTCAGTCGTACTTAAGCAACGAACGGCTTTAAAGTTTAACGTTTATCTTAAAATTCCTTTTCAGTAGCATATAATAATTTGTGCACGATTTATGAAGACAAAAAGACATGGCAGAAGTTCAATCATTAATTGGACTGATTGTTTTAGTAAAGGAAGGGAGGTGGTTAAAATGATGTTTGTTCTGGTGCCCTATGAAAGCAAACTTGGGAAGAGATGTGTCCTTAGTTGAGCAATCTGTTACGAAAGATCGCCAAATTACAGTTAGAAAAATAGTTGAATATCTTAACAATAATATAATTATTGAATCCCTAAAATATCGTTTACCTTAGATTTTAAATATATCATATATGATAAAAAGAAGGCGCTTATACTTTATCCACAATGGATAAACGACACACCCCAATACAAAAGAGTCGGGTTGTGATGGTCACTATGCTCATTCTGGGAAAAGGTATCCTAATCCATCAATCCTATTTGTGACAAATGGTCTATTCTTGTTATAAAAAATAACTTGCATGGTAAGAAATATATAAGACTCGGAAAAATCTGTTAATTTCTGTGAACAGAACGGTACGGAGCATGTCACGTGAACGCCTGCATGGATCACGTGATTCGCGCATGGGCAGAGCATTAAAATCGGAGAGGACCACTTTAAAAAATAATAAACATCGAAATCTGATCTTTTTTTTAATGGAAGTAATTCAATTAATTCTCGAACTTTTTTATTCCCCCCTCGTATTTCTTGTTCATTAACATATCATCCCAAAGTTTTACATTACTGATATCAATTTTAAAAAGTTGCAGCTTTGAAATCTCAAAAAAGTTCCAAACAAAGTTTCATAGTTAATCAAAGTATCAAATTAAGTATTTACTATAGTTAATAATAGTAAACTATAGTTAACTATAGTTAACTGTAGTAAATTTTTGTTAGGAGTGCCCTTCGATTGTGATAGAAATACTGGCAATATACTCCCCTTCCTTGATCATTATATAGATACATGTATAATCTACATCATCATGCACATAAGCATTATGTAGCTCGGATTTTTTTCTATAGGCTAGCAAATTTAAAGAGTGGGTTACATCCTCGTTACCCACTCCCTCCAAACTTACCACTATAGATACGCTGACACGAATCAGGTACTTGATTCGAACATAATATGTGTTAGAATATTTATGGCACAGTTCTATGGAGCCTTGCAAACGCAACTTCAATTGTGCTAATATTGCCAATCATACATAGGGAAAAAATAATATGTAAATTAGGCAGAGAAGCTTTTTCATAATGCAACATTCGGTTTTTTCTATTGGTAAAAATTATTACATGTAACTAGAAAGGCAATATACGTACTACTGTGTATAAACTTGTGTCAATTCTTAGTATGCCAAACACCTCTTTTATTAACTAATCAATTTTTTTTTAGGTAAAAAGCCTCATTTTGTTTATAGGCTTTGTTGACACTAGCAAACGACAAAAGACATTGGTAAAGTTTTTGAGTTAACCATTTTTTGTGTCTCCGAGATCGAATATCAGAGAAATTTTGAATTAGTCCTGTCTGGGTTTTTTTCACAAATTTAATTTTCCTTATATTTTTATTAGAAGTTTTTTTTTTTTTTTTTTTTTTTTTTTTTATTTATTTTTTTTTTTTTACCAGAAAATCAAAGATATATATGAGATCTCATTTTCTTGATAATTGTCCATTTTTTTCACGAAGATTTATTTGGGTAGGGTTCGAAAACATTAATCTTTCTTATAACTTCTGAAAAAAAAAAACGCTTGAGACTTTATTTTCATTCTTTTTTTTACATTATTTACCCAGAGTAAAATTTAAAGAGGATCATTACAATTATACGCAGAAACCATGCATTTTTATTCACATATGTTTCTCTCTCTGACACCAGCTAAGTAATTAATCTTGTTGTTTTTTTTTACATGCAGACTCTGGAAACTTTTTTTAATATAACATTTGATAAAACAAATCTAAGAGCACGTGAATTTTTGCCCTTATAGTCGTCGAAGAGCATAATAGCCTATAGTTATTTGTTTTCCTTTAATGGGATAAAACATCTTGTATTATTTATGTACATATGTAAGGTATAGTGTAACCTTTTGTTACTTAAACTTTAAAGCTTTTAGGTTGCGTGATTTTACCTCTACGTATTTGCCTAACAAGAATATTCCTACCAAAACAAGTTTTTGTATATAAAAAAAAGACACGGGGTCATTATTCTACGGGGTCATTTTTCTACAACCCACACGGAGAAAAATGACCCCAAGGCCATAATTTCTACGAAAAAGGGGGTCATTTTTCTACGTAGAATATTGACCGGGGGGGTCAAATTTCTACGTAGAAAAATGACCCCCGGTCAATATTCTACGGGGGTCACTTTTCGTCGTTACACCGGCGACAATATGTACCAATGGACGACAATATATGCAGTAAGGGGTATATACATGTACATATTGTCGCCGACGACAAAATGTACAAAACGACAATATGTACCGTCAGAGGGTATCTGTATTTATCAGCTATACTAGTAGCTCTGCTGGAGTGGACTCTAATAAAACTATATAAGAACTTATTGGTGCAGATGGAAATCATATAATGAACTAAGATCACATATTAGACGAACAAAGGTCTTTCTTCTCAAATTTATACAAAAGTAAAAAACAGTATGGCAATCAAAAATTATTAAATGAAAGTATTTTACTAAATCATAATGTAGATTATCAGATATATACATGTACAGAGGGAGAATCGGGAAGGAATGTAGATTATCACATGTACAGAGGGAGAATCGGGAAGGAATCCTAAAGCTTGCATGACGAGTGTATGGCTGTGATGGCTTCACTGCATAATTATAGAATTTTATACAACTTTTTTTTCGGAAGGATTTGGGAATATTGGTTTAGGAGTGTTTGTTATTCGATCTTTAAATGAAGGATATCATACAGGTCAAATGTCACCATTCAAATCTGAGGGTATATTAACTTATATTCCAAAAGTTGATGACCTATCTCATTAGTAAATGTAGACTTATCAAACAGGGTCAAAAAGGTTTTGAAAGAATTTTATCAGTAATACAGAGAAGGGATTTATAAAGGGACAATTTATTGGTGAAAATATTCGTTTTCTATATGACCTTGAAATGACTGCTTTAGAGAGAACTAGAAATATGTCCATAGGACATGAAAGCCCCGCTTGCTTTTGACCAATCATTAGACATGTCATCTGCAGATTTTTCTGGATCAAGCCTTTTTCATGAAAATGATGTTTCAGCGGGTTTTTTTTTCAGATTCAAATAAAAATTACAATCTAAAGTCAGACTTTTTAGATCCGCGCCGTGTACACTCTTGTCACGGTTCATACTGTCGTCGGTGGTAATATGCACCTAGTCTCACTGCACATATTGTCGTCCATCTGTACAGGCTGCAAAATTATGCATTACATATTGTCGCTGGCGACAATTCGTGCTCTTTCTTTCTCTTTCCCTCTCTCTCTAAATATTTTGAATAATAAGAAAAATAAATTTTCAGTTTGGGTATTGAGTGTAATAGAAACGAATGAACCCCCCTTTTAAAACAAATCCCATAGACTTCATAGTGAAGAAAACCACCCTAACACATTATTAAACGTTTTGACGTTGACTGTAAAATTCAACTACTATAATTGGAATTCATTATATATATATAGTAGACGTATTTTCATGCATATCATCAGTGGCATTGTAAAATTTTAAAATTGACTACAAATTTAAAAAAAAAATTTCAGTGATTAAACTCTTTCTCTCTCTCTCTCTCTCTCTCTCTCTCTCTCTCTCTCTCTCTCTCTCTCTCTCTCAAAATAGATAAATAAATAAATAAACAGAAAAATGTGATTTCAAGAAGAACGAAGTTTAAAAAATAGTTCACTTTTTAAAAAATTATATCTATATGAATGTAAAGTTAAATAAGTGCTCACAGTCACTGAGTATCAAACTTTGTGACAGAAAGCAAACTTGCTTATCTACAGGTATTCATTGTGGGTTATTTAACTTTGGCGATATTTAGTTCATTGTAAATGTGAAAGCTAGCGAAATGACGCAGAGTTGATCAAATATAATGGTCAGCACTTGCAATTATGTCACTGAAATAATTATCAACGATCATGGTAAGCGAGGAAAATATTTGTTCTTTTTTCTTGATTATTATTTAGCTATTTTTATTAATTTATTTCCTTCTTTCTTTCCCCTTTAATTCCTTTCTTTCTTTATTTGTTTGTTTTATGTATTTATTTAACAATTTTAGTACTCATTTTAATCAACCAAGTTCCAGTTTGTTGAACGTAACATTTTTTATTTGTTGTATATATATATATATATATATATATATATATATATATATATATATATATATATATATATATATATATATATATATATGCAAGTTCTTTATAATTTTTCATCGGTATTTTAGGTGTTCTGTATATTCAATCATCATTCCAATGGATACTTAATTTAGGCTTTTCTCATAAAAGAATGAAAATATCAATTGAGATCTTTCTCGATAGACCTATGAAATTAATCATTGAGTAAGTGCACATGTATATAAAATCAAGTCATGCAGATGAGCAATGCGGGCTGAAACATTTCGGTTTTCCTCTGTGATATTCTTCTTTTCCTTACAGTCACTAGGAACTGACTATTCAGCCGATTTTGAATTTTATGACGACAGTAGTGGACAAAAAACAGCGACACCTAGTGAAACTAATTCGCATCAGGGTCACCAACCAGGATGCCAGTACTGGGATTCTAATTTTCCAAGTTTGCTCGGTAGCCTCGGAGTGGAAGCCAAACTTCCGAAAGTTAGAAGAATCCGGCCAATGAAGAGACAGGTCTATTTAGCTCTTTGTCATATTTAGATCTATTTTCATTATCTACTGTTATTAACAAATGTTTAAGTCTTAAAATCAATTGTAGCCCTTCTCTTGAGAGGACGATTTCTAAAGATTTTTCCATTTATTACTAACGCCAAACTTTGACATAGTGTGGCCCCACTCGAGGCGCGGGGTCATGCATAATTTGAATAAACTTGAATTTACACTACATGGAAGTATTTGTATTTTAGTTCAGGAGAAGTCGAAAATAAAAAAAAAACTGATCTCAAACATACATCAAGACAGAGGGGCCACGGACAAACTTTGATTAGAAAAGCACAAAATTTTATATCTGGTGATTGGTCATGTACAAATTACTTTATAAAAAAAATCATTCTGATTTTACACACCAGTACCCTGAAGTTGATATTGAAAACAAATGCTTGAGTTCCTTATTGACAATATACTGTGGAATTCAAAGGGGGGGGGGGTGTCAATGTTCTTGGGAAAGCAAAATTTTACTGAATCATGAGCAGTAGTTTCGTTGGTAACACGTTTATACAGGAACTTCAATGAATCAATACGAGTGTTGATAAAATAATCATTCATAGGGATGTTATTTCATGGGTAAGGATGAACTATGAAATCCACGAACATATGTCCCCCATGAACAACGAGTCTTTGGAGATCAGTTCTTCCCACAAATTGTTGGATTTCTGGTGGGCCATAATTGTGCTTCATCGTTAGCAGACCTGTTTGTATTATTATGAAGCAGAATTTATTTAAAAACTTCTAAATGAGAAGAAGAAATTTCTTGCTGTGACATTCAATTCGACATTTAGACAAATCACCGATGTTTTAATCATTAACAATAGTTATTTTCCAGGGCTTAATATCTAGTTCATGCAGGTCCAGTAAAAAAAATTCAGTCCCAATTGAGAAATGACTTTTTTTTAATCCAAAGTTAAGGTTAGAATTTCAAAATGACAAGTAGAATAAATTTTTCAGTGTTTTTTATCCACAATCGTGAATTTTGAAGTTACAATTGTATATAAATAAAGATCTGAATAGAATATAAGCCTACGTTCCTACTGTCTTTAAATACTAAAGTAAAAGATTAATATATAATTAATATGTCCAAATTTTGCAACTTTTTTCCCAGTTTGAAATTTCCAATTAAAAGGTTGTTGGATCTTGTACCAAAATGGGTTAAATAAGCCCTATTTTTGTTTATTTGTTGACTCGATATACCCCATTTCACAAAATAAAAGATACAACATAGTCTGGCACACTTGTTTCGTATTTGGATGTTTCACTGACACTAAGGACCTTAATGGCAAACTAACAACAAAATTATATAAAAAATATTATGTCTACAGCTTTGAATTAATATTCCAGTATCATCACATCGTGTTCTTGTTTCTCAAATGGTTAGATACATAAGAGCATGTTCTAAGTACAAATTAGGTTTTAAACCGAGGCAGACTATTGAAAAAAATATGTTGATGTTTCAGGGCTTTCTACAGTCTCGTTTCACGTTTGCATTTTGCAAGTTCTGTGGTGATTCTAAAGATCCTGTTTGCAAATACAACCTATCGTTGGACGTATTAGTATTTGAACTGAGATATTTCATACCGATACATAGGCCATTATTTTAATACTAATTTTGACTACTTAATATTCTGCTTACATGATGAATACACGTTCACAGAGAGTGTGACCTTCGACAGGGGTTGCGCTCTGTTCCTATAGACATTTGATTCCTTCTCTGGTTTTCCTGGGGTCCGTGATTTGTTCTGAATACGATTCGTATAGTTTTACAGGATTTTTGAAATCGTTCACTGTTCATAATCTTTACTTTTTCAATTGAATAGATTTCGGGTTCAACGTCACAAAAGACACCAAGAGAATCATCTAAAGCAAGTACAAAGAATTCCTCCCCTGAAGAACCCTGGAGAAGAAACGAGGTACGTGTTTATTGTTTCAATTTTGTCCAAAAAATGCTATCTAGTAATTGAAAGATTGACCAATGAGTCAAAATTTAGGAAATTATAAAATAAAAACATAGGTATCATGATTAATGTACAAGTTAAATAGTAAATAAAAAGCAAGACGAACATCGACGAATTTTATAACGTTTCAATATTTTCAAATATAGTGAAGAAGTATTCCCAATTAAGACACTTGATCATATTACGTTGTATTTTACTGTCTGGAACAAAGCCACTGAAGCATTATTTTTATGCTTGTAACGCCTCTAACGATCGGCATGTTTTGATTTTTTATTTATTGCACCAGAACTAAACAGTAACAAAAAAGGAAACAACAGAAAAAGTTGGATTGTTTGATTTCTACTTATATGAAATTAAAATTAATATTTTGTCATATTTAAATTTTTTCCATTTTTGAAGGCCAGATGGTTGAAGGTAGAAAATATTGTAAGAGAGAAGATGGAACAATTTGATGATTATTGTACACAGCTTGTGTTACACAATGAAGCCAAACGTGCAGAAAATGAGAGGAACGCCCATCAACTATACAACAAACTCTGGCTGGAGGAGGAAAAGGTAGGATAGCCCACATATCTAGGACAAAACTGTCAATATCTTCTATATTAAAAGGACTGTTTAAAAAGGCGACATTTGTACTTTATTTAAGTACATTAGTACTTTTATAAGTACATTTGTACTTTATTTAAGTACATTTTTATTTAAAAAAAAATAAAAAAAAATTAATAATAAAAACAGCTCAATATTCTAGAAGTTAAACTTCCATGTCCATTGAAAGAAAGGACATTTACAAATATGAAAAGTACTTTCAAATCCCTGTGTATGTCTCTAGTCAAGTCTTTGCAATGAAAATGTAAAGTCTTTAAAGCATTGGTGAACGTGGTTCACAAAAGATCATAATCAAAGTTTTTATATCAGTTTGGCCTTATGTGAAAATCCTCATGAACTCCAATGTCTATCAGTTCTTTTCAAAGGTTAATTTCAGCGAAATTTTAAAAAATTAAAGCATAAAAATGTAGAATATAACTTCTTGGACCCGGATGTCAATTTATAATTATACTATAAAGGTCCTCTACCTCTGTCAGGATGTCGCAAATAGTTTGGCAAGTAGATAAAGATTAACGTTAAAGTCGTTTGTAATTTGGGGGACATTGACTGTAATCATTTTCTATATACATTTATTAGTAGCCTCTAGGGATTATCATCGAATTTGTTTTTCTTTAATACTGAGTATATTAGTGCATTAAAGTGTGTATAAGATCTCGTTTTTGAAAAGATTTTAAATACTTCTTGACAGGACATTTTTATTTCATATTTAAATTTCTATATCTTGAAATAAACTATATTACAACTAATGACAAAATTGAGCATCTGATTTTTTTTATTCAGAGAAGGAAGGCTGTTGTGAAGGGCTCTACCTATGACAGAATTTGGAGGCACCATGCCCTGATGAGACAAAGGGGGGAGGACGAATGGAGGAGAAAAATGGCGAGGAATAATCAGCTGCAGTACGATGTAAGTTTATGGTCTTTAGTAACAAGTGCCCTGATACTGTTATCTTTACTGTAATTAGTATATCAAGATATGAAATCTTTCATGTGTAAACCAATTCTTTTGAAAATTTCTCTCGTCTTCAAACTAAGCTTTCTTGTAGATCAATTAATGATTTTGTTAGGGTACAGAGGCAGTTTTTTTTCCAGTAGAACTAATAATCATTTTGACCAATATTTTACTTGCAAAGGGGGAGTTTCGATAAGGCCGCTTATCGGCCCACTTTTTTTCATAAAAATAAATTTCGTTTTATTTTTTGAAAATTGGTTTAGAATTCAAGATATATATGTTAATTTTTGTTATTTATATTTTAAGAGTTTATATGAGATGAATTCACACCGTAGTTGGCACATTCTTAGATGTACTCTCAAATGCTTTAACATTAGGCTAATGGGAAAATATTAGAGGGTGGCATATATTAATCGATGGTTATAATATGAAGTGCATGAAGGACACTCACCTAGTTTTGTTCAGTAATTAGATATACTCTGCACACTAATATCTTAAAATATGATGAGTGTCGCGTGTGCACTTCATATCCAAAAATTGAAAATTGTCTAAAATTTGCATATCTAAAATTAGAAGCTCCTGGTTACTTGATCTTACGCCGTGTTAAAATACAAAGCCAAAAGTAGCATATTTTTTCTAAACCAAAGAGAACTCTCGAAAATATTAACATTAGAAAACATAATCGTATCCTATAGTTATTTCCATACTTATTTCGTCGCCCGCGTATAACGTTAACGTCACATATTTAGCTCACCTACACGAAGTTGGGGAGCTTTTGTAATACCATCGTTATAGGCGTTCCAGGTTATCAAAAGTTTTTAATCAATTTTTTCATATCATCAGAGTCGCCTGATCTAGTGTGTTTTCCTGTCATCTTACGGGTTTCAGATGCTGCATTTTCAGTTAAAGAATGTCCAGGTTAATGTTTTTTAAAGCATGCAGGTTAATGTTTATGGAGCAGTGCAGCTATAAGCACTTGTTGAGAAGACGTGCTTCATGATGCATCTTCGGATGCACACTGTCAGACTTGCTTCAGATGCTAGATCTGACTTACATTTTCTTGATAAATGCTCAGGGTATATATTTTGGAGCATGTCTTATTTTCATGTAATTATAATCCCTATCTTGAAGAAATATGCACCGATGATGCATTTAGGGTTTCACATTACCAGAACTGTTACAGATGCCGAATCTTAGATTTTCCGAATGACTGACTGAACTAAAGAGAAGTTTGAGGATTAGTCCATTCATTAACGTTCTTTATCAAGGATATGGTTATAGCCATTCCTTTGAATAGAAACTCTCCTCGCTTCAATCTGTTAGAGAAGGTTCACATATATTTCCGTGTGGTCTACATGTATGGAACGTAGATTACTTTTAAGACTGGATGTTGATTTGTACGTTTCTGCAGGATATGATTTAACACATACATTTGGTATTTACAAATGCATTTTAAATTGCGGCTATGGTCTAGCAAATCAAATAGTGACTAAAGTTGGTGAAACAACATAACCATCAAAAGGAAGTTGGGAAGCGCGAGGAATTACATGTAGGTCCTCGCTTGCCTGAATTGTCTCATTTTTGCTGAAAACATAATGCACCTCTTTAAGTGCGTAAATACTTTTAAGTTTAAGAATGAATAGAAGACATGCACTCAATGTATTTCAGTTTTTTTTTTATCATTTGGCTATTTATTCACGTATTCTGTAAGCACTGCATTAGCAATAATAGTCCACTATCGGCACACCAAGTGTAACCTGGTTTCCATTAAAAATTGAAAATGCCCTATTTGAAAAATCATTGAAGCGGAAGAAAATGCCAACTTGATCTATAACTCATATACCAAAACAAAAATCAGCTCAATATATGCGATTTTTATTTTTTAGAAAAAACAAAACAAAAAACACCGAACCCCCCTTTTTTTTAATTTGTAAAGTGCGAAAAAGTGGAACAGACTGACAGATAGACAGAGGGACGGAAGGACAACGGACAGACGATGAGGAAACCTATAGACCCCTCCGGCTTCATCGGTATGGGGCTAATAATTACTATCTTGATAAAATATTTTGACTGGTAGTAATACGCTTGGTATTATTAAATACAATGTACATTGCAGAATGATTCTTTTAAATATACTTTAAAAATATAAATAGCTGCATTTTTTAATCGTACCGAATTCCGAAATCTGTTAATTTCAAGATTTTTTTAAAAATTCAATTAATTCATTTTTTGAAAATTCCTGTCTTTATTATTCATATACGTTTTATATGTTACATTCATCCTCTTTGGAAGAAGAGTTACAATTAAAACACGAGAAAAATCTTACACCTTAAAACGCATTCAAATAAAATAAATATCATAATTTTCTGTAAAGAAAAATATTGAAATTGGTTATTTGATGCCTTTATTCACATTTGTAATATTTCATTTATGATTTTGACGTTAAATAAACTCCATTACCCCCTTTAAATATGACGCCTCGAAAAATCTAGGGAAGAGGGTATACTTAAATTTTTAATTATCACGTGACCAGAAAATGTGCAGTATAAATTTTTTTCATATTTTTAGGAAGATAACACTTTTATCTACAACATATCACAATTTCATTATATTTCTTGAGGGGCCGAAAAACAGCCTTATCGAAACTCCCCCTTTAAATATCTCGGTTTTTCTGTTTATCTTCAAGGTTTAATATACACTGTATTCGAAGGAAATATAAACATTTTAAAGAACAGTTACTTTAAATTATGATCAGTGTACAGTTATTTTCTTAAATCTGTTTACTTCTCATTCATTTCACTTATAATTCCCTTTTTCTTTCAGTCTGTGGATGTGTCTTTTGATGAAGAGGCTCTTAAATGATTGGAGGGAGTTACTTTTTTTCTCTTTTTTTGCTTCAACACACATCAAAATCACAGGAAAAAGGAGAAAAAGGCAGAGGGACAAACATTTAGAATCGATGGAACCTTTTTTTGCCCTGGGAATTCACATAAAATGACATGTAATTATTGCCTCTATCATCATTTGATATAATTAATAATAAAGCAGTATGTATAATTACGTACCTCACTTTTTATTGCTACATGTATACGCATCGTGAATTTTCATGTGTTTACGTATATTAAGATTAAGTCCCATTGAGAGTAACACAGTATAATACTTCATTTTTTTTTTTTTAATTGCTTTAATTTTGGATTATAAGCTCGACGTATTGTAACTGCAAAGTATATATATATATGAATGCTGAAAACCTTAATTAAATGAATTTACAGACAGAATGGAAACTAAAAAATTTGTTTATAGAATATACTCAGCCTTCGACAGAATTTGAGTCATATCGGGTTTCACATATCCATTTTTGATTGCAATGTTAATTTATCCTTAACTTGATATAGTTTATAGTAGTTTGATGTAGTTTAAATTGTATCCCAATCAACCTTTTCCCATATTTAAGATTTTGGAAGTACATGTACATGAGTAAGCTGACGAAAAAATATCTTAGCTTTAAGTATAGCTTTATCATTATGTGGAGAATTGCACTGAACATATTGTCAACTCTTGGCAAATATTGCCGCCAAGGACACGGTGTGCAGATCCGTGCGAAGAGCACATATGTCAACACCGAACGAAGACTGTGCTACAATTAAAATCAAGCTAAAGGTATTAAAAGATTCGTGCCAAGGTCTTCTGGCCGCTCTTACTATAATCATGAGTTTTAATGAACAATCCTGATACTACTTGTTAAAGGCATCCTTTCTAAAGAAAGTTCTGGTATCTCAAGTATCTCATTGTTATCGTGGAGCGATTGTTCGTCTGTCACACTTTCTTCTTCCTGTAATTCCTTTTACAATTTAAAAAGGAATCAGTTCATCTTTTGGAATGTGATAAGTGATGTCCTGTAGATGTGCAATAAGGTTTCAAAGTTTTCATTTTTATCCTGGGGGCCAAACAGGAATTGAAAAACGAATTTTTTTTACTACAGAGACCTGGTTCCCCAAACTCCTCCTATAATTTAAGCAGCAGCTAAATCATCTTTTGCAGAATGATTGGTGGTGTCCTGTAGATGTGCAACAACGCTTTGGAATTTTCATTTCACATCGGGGGAAGGGGGGGGGGGGCAAAAGGGTGTTTTTCATTTAAAAATACCTGATTCCAAGAACTCCCCGTACATTTTACACATTAGCCATTTGATCTTTTACAAGATGAAAGGGGGTGTCCCGCAGATGTACAATAAGGTTTCATTTTCTCCCTGGAGGTTAAATAGGGATCGAAAAATGACGTGTTTTATTTTTCAAAAAACTGGTTCCAAGAACTCCTCATATATTTTTCTCAACCCATCTCAATTCTTTACAAGATGATTAAGGTATTCTGTAGATGTGCAATAAGATTTTGGAATTTTCATTTTCACCCTAGGGGCAAAAAAGATTTTCATTTTACGAATATCTGGTTCCCAAACTCTACCTTTACGCAGTAACCATTTCATCTTTTGCGAGATGATTGGTGATGTCTAGCAGATGTACAATAAGTTTTTGGAAATCTCATTTTCACCTATTGGAACCGAAAGGGGTAAAAAAAAAAAGAGAGACCTTTTTCAAGTTCCGTTTTAGACTGATTTTTTTTTCTTTTCTTTCTTTTTCTTAACGGAAAACATTTTTCTAAATTTTCCTCTTTTAAAATCAGAATTATTTCCGCACAATCTTTTATTTCAGACCGGTAATGAATTTATTTTAAAAATACAAACATAAGAGGCCCATGGCCATAAGCTCACCTGTACATTTAATGCCCAATTTGATACATTTATAAATATTTATGCAAATTCTATAATAACTTTTGAGGCTTCTTCGCTACAAGGAACAAGGTAAAAGGAAGCTAGCGTACATTTAGAGACAAACAAGTACGCGCAAGTATTACTGTCTTATGACGGCATCTAAAATTTTCAGTGGTCACGAAGTAATATATAGTTCAGTCTAATAAGCCCTTAGCTGTAGGCCTTTTTTATAAAGGTTGTGGAGAAAGTTTTTTTACTACTGCTAGGCCCCTAATCCCACCTCTGTCGTTTCCAGGAGTCGGTGTTTTTGTCTTGTTCCTGATTAGTATTCTCTACGAGAATTATGAGATTAATCACTGATCGTTATATTTAACTTTCACATTGTAAATGTAGTAAAAGAATATATTAGGATCTCAAAGTTAGTATCATTTTGTGATGACAGCTTAAATATACGGAGATTTAAACCTCGAACTGCGCACTTCCTTAAACGCAATAAGACATTTACATGGTGACAATATGTACAAAACAAGAGTACACTGTTACGTATTCTGCAGAGGAAAAAAGGCGCAAATCGGCACTTATTGCCGATTACAATATGATATGAGCCAATTAACATGTACATTGTACTTCTGCACATAATGCCAATGGCGACAGCAATATATGCCGTTATATATGTTTTAAAAAGCAAAGCTCGAACTTTATATAAACAATTTATATATACAGCTATTTAACAATATATCGATTTATTTAATTTTTTGCAAAATCATTGGTTTGATGTTTAACCAATTCAAGAGTAAAAGTAATTGTAGGAAAGGGATATATATATTTCAAAACAAAGACAAATTTAACTGAATCCATTACCAACTTGAAACATGTTAATTATTTTTTATAGTAATATACTGTTGATCAATTAAAAGAACACGTCATTTATGCCTCATGACTTTATATCTTCAGATTACCAAAACTTTATATATCCATTGTTTTCCTCGTCTGAATCAGAATCACTGTCGATCTCTCCGTCTAATTCGGCTTCCTCAGCGTCTTCTGATCCTCCTACAGCGGCACCACCTCCGCCTGTCCCTCCTGCTCCTACTCCTCCACCTCCAGCCATCCCTCCTCCTCCAGCCAATCCTCCTGTCCCAATCCCAATGGATCCTGATTCTGTTTCAACATCTTGACTTCCTCCCATACCCCCACTTCCACCTCCTTGTTCTGCCATGTCTTGCAATCGATCAATACTTCTCATAAAGATTTCCTCGACACGTTCTTGGTTGTTCGAACCAGGCTGAAGATACTGATAAAACCGAATCAGTTGGAGAAGCTTAGCTCTATACGATTCATTGAATATTTTTGTAATCCTAGCATTGTTTTGAAGATTTATATAACCTTTAAGAATTGTATCCAAAGTCTGCTGATGGTTTCTAGAGGTGCGCAACAGTTGAATGATATCCTCAGAGGACATTTGCATTTGAGCCATTCTAAAAAAAAAATCCCCCATGCTTGTTTTTGAATTTGGTCGACTACGTGATATGGTGGCATGTCCAGTTTGCATACCACCCACTACCTGTCCGCTTCCCATGGTTCCCCCAACATTTGTTTTCTTTATAATTTTTCCACCTTGATTAGTGTTTGCAGAATGTAAACCAGTTGCAGCCTGCCGAAGACGATTGTCTCTGGCAAAGATAGGGAATTTAAGAGTGTGAACTCCAGGTTGAAATCTTGATTGATCTAAACCTCGAACGTGTCTCAACAAGTCTTTTGCAAAAAGCTGACTATGTAGAGATGTTTCGGATATTCCAGGTACTCTTACCAAATTGCTTGATGAAAACACTTTTTTTCTTAATGGTCGCGTTGCTTGACGGTTGGGTATGGTGATTTCAACGATTTTTGGACGAGGTTGAAAACGTTGTCGAGGTACTTGATTTGTCTGTGGACCTGGTTGAGGATTGAATTGAGGAATAGCCATTACAGCCATAGGTAAACTGTGCAAACTAGGTAACTGAATCGATTTGCTAGAAGGAGATAAACTTCCTTTTAAAGAAGGAGATGGGCCTGGAATATTTGGCGTGGGAATTTCATTAATATTTTGAGGAGTAGGTAAAGATTTTTGAGGTGCTGTATGTGATGGAGGCCCAAGAGGAGGACTCAATGGCGGAACAGACATCACAGCTAACGGTAAACTATGAAAATTAGTTATCCCCAAAATTTTTGGCGAATGTGGCAAATGTGCTGGATGTATAGATTGACTTTGGAAATTAGATATTCGGGATTTTGATGTTATGAATTGCTTAGGTTGGATGTTATTGGAAATGAAACTTGGTTGAAACTCGTGTATTGTGACTGATCCCTGGGGTTTAGAAGGTAATGGAAAAGCAGGTTTCTCTAATATAGGCAACGATGGAATAATTGGTTCTTGAGGTAGATGGACAGGTATTCCTTTGATAGGTCGTGGTTGTAACGGTTTCCCGAGAGAAGGAATCTGAAGATCAGGAGTGGTATTAATTTTCAGTCTCTTATCTGTCAATGGAATCATAGGATACGACATCCAGGTGTTAGAGGTATCTGGTCTGCGATTAAAATAGGGATTGGATATCCATACATTTTTGCCTATAGCTGCTATATTGTCAAGTAGACCTGCTTCAAAATGCACGTCTTTGCCTTGGACGGGCTCAACAGGCGAATGCACGAAGGAGACGTGCATGTCTGGCAGAGTAGGTATCATATCCTGGCTAGATTTTAACTGTGGTGCTGACGTCAGAACGTTCTGATCATTGAGAAGTTGTATCTCGTGTTGAGATGCCGGGATTTTGGACAGGGGGCTCAGATCTCCCTGTGTGGCACATTTACCCGTGTACTGACAATCCCACGCTGTAGGGTTCTTGAATTTAGAGCCTTTCTGGCCCAAAATTACATTACCTCCTACAACCTAAATAAATGAGAACAATCAGTTGTAAGTAACAATTGGATATTATAGAAATACTAACTTGGGTTAAGTTTTTTTATGATTCATTTTAAAATCAGAAGCTTTAATTTTTTTGTACATGTGTAAAATACGTAATTGTTATTCAGAGATCTCTGTTCAATCTCCCTTCCCTTTACAATTGTAAGTTAAACCAGGACAGAAAGCAAATGTTGTATTGATTTACAAAGACAGATACATATTTGATTGTCTCGATTTTTTAAAATACTTTTGGAACGACTTTACCGGTCCCCAGAAAAACGCGCTAAAATATAGTGTCACCGTAGGCGACTTCAATATATATGAGATCGCGTGAGCGATCGAAAAAAAAAAAAGAGGTTTTAATCCTTTTTGACCCCAAATTCGAATTCTACGGTTAAAAGTTTAGTTTAAAACTTCGTTTTTAAACGAAGTTTTAAACCTCGTTCTCTGAAAAAAAAATAAATAGCCATTTTTTCATGTAAACAAACCAACGAGATGTCGTTGAAGCTGAATCAAGATCTTGCAAAAAATACAGATGCAACTGAATTTCTTAATTAATCTAAAAGAACAAGACACTAACCTTAATCTCTCGGATGGTATGCGAGGACAAACCCAAATCTCCCAGGCGGATGCTAGACCATGCTAGACTAACCCATGTGCGAGGACTAATCCTAATCTCTCGAATGGATGCGAGGCTAACCCTAATCAGTCGAAAACTTATGCAAGGACTAACCCGAATCTTTCAGGTGGGTGCAATACTAACCCTAACCAGTCGTCGAAAAATGTGCAAAACTAACCTAATCAGTTGAGTGACGTAAATCTTACGTCATAGTGCAATGAGCGCGCGGATCTTGCGGATCTGGGGACCGGTAAAGTAAAGTCTACCCATACTTTTAATCCACGATTTACTTATAATATATATATATATATATATATATATATATATATATATATATATATATATATATATATATATATATATATATATATATATATATATATATATATATATATATATATATATAGACAGGCTAAGAATTAAATGTATATCATTTAGTGGATTCACAAGATTCTATTTCTATGAGATAAGGTTAAGCCGAAAGTTTGATTGAGGAATACCAAAAACTTCATAACAGTGGAGTATAACAATGATAAATTTTACTATTTCTCTCATGAGTTATACCTATTATAATTAAGCATGTTCATTCATGTTCATGGTTAAGATATATATATTTATTCACAAAACATATAAAATAGTTAACTACATGTATATTAGCAACTCAGAAAGCTTAAAAACTTAATAAATGAGATAGGATAATTCTTTTCAAGAAGCGTCATTTTTGATAGTCATGAAAATCTTGTAAAAATGTAATATAATCAATGGCTGTAATTGACATCTGAATGCCAAAACGTATGTTATCTAAATATGAATGTTTTATGGCTTTCTATCAATTGATGTTTCCTTTTGTAGTTCTCTAATACCAATAACCTTTATTATGTCTAGTTTGTTCGGTTATTACTGGTTTATTCTCTAAGTTTGACAAATGATGAACACATTCTTGTCTGTTGAAAAGGAAATTAATAAAACAAGAAGAAATAAGATCTCTGGTTTTGATGTAGTGTTGGCAAATAAATGAACAAGCATGTCAAGCGGTTAATGATTTTTGGAAACGTAGAGACACACTTTAAGGTATTCTGTTTATTTCAATAATTTTCGGCAATATATTATTTAAAGAAAAGTGACACAATAGATAAAAGAAATGTCCGAATATTGTTACTTCGACCGTGTTGATAATTCGAGGATCGAATCATCAAAAGTATTTTCTACATAAAGTTAAAAAAAAAACCTTTTATCTATCAAGGCAATACCCTGTAAGATAGGCAACCTTTCGGTGCTTGTTCATCGATTTTGAGTTCCTCCCCTTTTTTTCCTCAGTATAAATTGTACAGAACGATATAACGTTTCTTTTCATTTAGCAAAAATATTGATCGAGATGATCCAATCATTGTTTTTGATAAAGCTTCTGTGCAATATTAATATACTCATATATAAAATTTATTTCTTTTTCCTTATTCTGTCCCTGTAAAATCAAAGGAAATGTGAAGTGTAAAAAAAAAGTCGAATGAACCCTATTTTGAACAAGGGTTTGATGTTGAAATGAAATCACTCACTTCAAATACTTATTTATAAACGTGTATATTAAAGCATATCTAAAATAATATTTTTTTAATGTGCTGAGCGTGATTATTATCTTTTTCTTCTTCCTTTTTTTGAAAGCACATTCAATTTATCGTCTTTCAAAATACATGTATTTTATACTATTACTTGATACATAAGGATAATCAAATGCTGTAAACTAACTTTTATTCCGCGGGTTATAATTCCCCGGAATTACAATTTTTATTTAATCCGGGGTAGAAAATTACGCAGATTTCCTGAATCATCATTGTATTTCTTAGATTCACTCTAAGTACGCTGTGACAAATTTCTATGGAAAATTGATGACTGCGTACATGGCATAAATTAATCCCACGCGTAAAAATGTACGTCTACAGTACATTTACCAAAAGTGAAAGTTGCGGTTCTTCAATACAAATTTGTACAAATATATCATTATCAAAATATATACGATTAAATGTCAGTTTTTTTTAAAATGTAAATATTCATCCTAGCATTATTATTATTATTTTTCTTCATAATTGTATGCTAATAAGTTTTTAAAAAAATATATAGAAACAATCATCAGATACTTACTAAAACGAGAAATAATCTCCCCAAAATATTTAGAGACCTCATGGCCTTTGAGCCACGTTCGTCCCTAATAACAAATGCAATACCAATAATTTATTAAACATGAAATTCTGTTACTTTTTACAACATCTTGTTTAACATCAAGTTTAATAACCACATGCTTGTCACAGCGTTAACGGTTCAACGACTTAACATGCAATGTTTTTTTCTTTAAAACTTTGTTTAAATAAAACAACTTCTTGTAGATTTGTAATTGTTTGAGAGAAAAAAGTTATTTTTGTTAATGAATTTCATCAGGTAATTGACGAGAATTCTGCTTGATTTTCGCTCGTAGGTGAGACATTACGCACAGGAAATTAATGGTTCCTAACTATCATTATAAAGATATCTTTACATTTATAGTGAAAGGTGTTTCCGCTCTTAAATGTGCAGATTCAATAAAATCAAAGTAGTTAGAATTTAATAATTAATTTTTTACTAAGATGAAACATTCGGTTTTGGCATTTTTGTCGGTCGATCTGTCCAGTTTTCACAAAAAAATGTGTCCATAACTTACGACGCCTTGACTGGAATCAGCTCAAACATTAGGACGTTTTTACTTTGATTGATATATATCAACAGCTGATTTACATCACTTCTCAAAAGTTCATTCAAACAATACAAATCATGAGCAAAGCAAACAGGGACTTTTAAAAACATCAGAGGTTGGATCAAGTGTCATAGAGGGGCGAGATCCCCCTGCCGATCAGGCACACCCGCCGTTGTGCTCCTTGTCATGATCGGGAAAAACGGGAAAATCTTTAGACAATTCAGTGTGTAAATAATGGCCTATCAATTAGTATGAAAAAGATCATTCAGCATTCGAATAATTGATAGATTGTATTTACTGACAAGGTCATTGTATCAACCATAGAACTTGCTAAATGATGACTTCAAACAAAACTGTTGATATTCTTGTTTCATCAACTTCTTTGTCAGTAGCTTGCCTCGTTTTAGAAGTTGTACGTGCAGAGACATAATCAAATTTTGAAAAAGTTACTTGGAATTTTTAAGTATCCACAGCTGATTTACATCACTTCTCAAATGTCTTGTTGTACAGTACTAATGAAGTTTCTAATTCACTCTGCCAATATTTTAGTGAGGAGTAAAGAAAAAGCTCAATAAAAGCTCAAGATCACTGAATGGAATTAGGACACGGAATGGAATTATACAGATTTTTATCACAAATTCGATCGTGTAAAAGTAACATTTCTTCAAATCGTGATTCTTTAGAAGCAGAGTTCCAATATTTTACCATTCCATTCGACAAAAATGTAAAATTCTAGAAAGACTCCATCGAACAATGAAGTTTTAAGAATTTTTTTTTTCAAATTGAGTAAATATATAGTGCCCTACTTCATTAACTCAATAAATTGAATAATTGCTCTCTGTCAGTCAGATTTAGCTATTAAATTTCATGTTTCTCCTCTCTAATTAATTTACAGTATTCTCATTCAGTGGTAATTGAAATCCTTTCAACGTTTTTTTTTATATGGAGGAACACACTTTAATCAAAAAGATGTGATTTGATCCTAAGATTGCTCATCCATTAATGTTTGGTGTATTTCATGTTATGAAAGATATATACTATTTATACCTTTCAATGTGACATCGATTTCAGTAATAAGGAAAGATGTTATATTTTATATCGTTGTACATATGATTGGGAAAGTTGTATTTGACCTGTAAGTAATAAATAAGAAACATTTAAAGTGCATTAGACCAGAAATTGTATTAACTGTCCAATATTAATTAAAAATGATTGTCAGTTTACATTCTGAGAAAGGGCGGTAATCACTTCATTTACAGGTAAGAACAAAAATGTAGGAAACAATTAATAATCTTCACAAAATACAGGTGTTAATCAATTAAAAAATGGCATAAGTGTCAAACAATGTACATACAGTAAACAGACAAGTACACGGACTTTAAATAGATCGAAAAAGTATAAGATTTGGAAATTAGTAAATACTTTAATTACTACAGTAAATTAGAGTACTTTAATTACTTTAATTATTACAGTAAATTACTATAGAGATGATACGTGCTATCATTTCAATTTATAATTAGGAATTGATAATTAAATGAAACAGTGCATTTTAAATGAATTATTATTTAATTTACCTTTTCAAGGAACTGATGAATATAAAGCATAATAATTAAATATTGTTCCCGATACTTAGAAAAATATTAAAGTTTTCAGTAAATGTTGCATTATCATGAAAACACATTTCTATTGATGAGGGTCACGGGGCTATGGAAATGTGTTTTTAATGTTATAAAACAATGATAGGGTATAGCGAATACTCAGTATCTATATTTCACATCATCAAATGTGCTGTAAACCAACAACTACATTTATGTATAAAAATGTACAGTGTGTACACGATAAATAAATCACAGTCTTATGTTAATCAAACAATATGCAAATAATACATGAAATCTTTGGTATGCAATGACTTATCAAAAACAATAACAGTACAAAGTTAATTTAAAACAATATCTACATGGTCATAAATAACTTATAAATATAACAAACTACATGCATTGAATCTTAAATTACCTCCTCCAAAATTTCTTAGTAGTCAATTATACACACCTCCCTTGATATAATTTCTTTGATGTATACCTCTCTGTTTTTCTACTTTTCACACATTTATTGTGTTATTACAGTCAACTATTTTTTTATTTTTGCAAAACATTAAATAATCTATAAACGATAAATGTACTATGAAGTTATAAACAATATTATTATACATCATAAATAAATATATAGATATTCTTAATTCACTGAACTCTAATCTTAAAACAAACATATGTTACTGATCACAGAGAAGCGCTTGTTAATGGAGAGCTCATGAAATTCGCACACTGAGATTCAGGAGCATGAAGATAGTATTAAATATAGATTGAGACAGGTCAACATGTAAAAAGAAAACTACATCTGTACAAGACTATCGAGTAAAACCCAAATACAATCTTACTGTGATCAAGGACAAAATCTGCTGCCTTAATAACTATACCATAAACCATTTACAGTTTGAAGCATTAACTCTAGTAAGTTATATATTTTCCACTGTAACTTCACCTTTCTTGCTTTTCAGGAAACTATTATTTCAGATTATTTCACTGTAATGGCTTTTGGCAATCTCTCTATTCCTGAATAAAACAAATATCCTTGATCACACCTCTCTTAACAAGAAACATTCAGTTGATCGGGACTTAACGGTTTACATTCGTCTATTTTTCCGTTTTGGTATTGACAAACACCATTCTCCTTCACATACACCTTGTTTTTCTGTAATGGATGAAGTTCCTCGTTATATCCAATAAGTGACGTTTCTCGGGTACAGTTTCCATTCTGGTGTTCTTTTGAATCTTGAGAATTTGTTGTTGATCCCAATGAACCTCCACGTGTGTGCGATATAAATGATGTCATAGTCTCTCGAGTGCTCTTTCGACTAAGCCCTTGACCACGTGATATCAGAAACCGTCGCCATTTTTTCTTTATTTCTGCCTGTACCTATCGTATTGTAATTTTTTTTTTATAATTAGACACATTGAACCAATTTAGTCTGAATAAAGTGAACATGAAATTAATAGCTTTAAGAAAATCTTAATTCATCAATTAAAATGGGAAACGTTAGGATATATTCAATGTATGTGATTTACCTCTCCATTGAAGAAACAGAAAATGAGAGCTACTATGAAGCCCTGCAAAAGAGATAGATTAAACCTAGGGTAAATCATTCCTTGATCTGATAATAAAATCAATTTAATTTTATCAATTCTTGTCAAAATATTACATGGAAAAGTGTTAAAAATATGGAGTTACTCTTGTGAGGCACTATATACACAGAGCTGTTTCAGCATGCAATAACGCATTCAGAATGAATAGAGTGCAATATGCTGAATGTACGAAAGTTTCACAAAGGTAAGAAGTGCACCTTACAGTATTACCTGAAACGAGTTAAAGAACATTTCAAAGTAGAGTTTGACCAGTTCCGCCTCGTCACTGACTCTATCCGGTAGACCAATAAACACAACATAATGGACCCCAAACAGAGGAATCAGGACCAATGTCGCTTTGGCTAGCTTCCTGAAAGGTAAAGTTTACCTCGTTATTCAAAAGGCTAAATATTAACAACTTCAACAATACAAAAAGCGGCAAAGAAATTATTTTTATTTCATCATACATTTTGCTCAGCTGCAAAATATAATGGACGTTGAATAGTAAGGACGATATATGCTAAATTTTATGAATATACATGTATATCATTAACACATGGTATTTTAAAATTATTCATGAAGATAATCATGAATATTCATGAAGATTCTGCTTGTTAGGAACAGGTGTTAGACTGCAGAGTTGAAATAAAAGAGTGCAAAAGGCCAAACCGTGATAAAATCAGAGACAAAATACGAAATTCAGAAGAATAAAAACGAGAGGTGGTTTTCAGTCAAACTTAAGCTATAAGATCATTCGTTATCAAATACCAATATGTCGTTTAACATGCATTTCTAATACAAAGTGACAACATAGTTTTCTTTTAATTATATGCTTATCAAGGAGGGTTTTAAAACATTAGACCTGGTTTTGTGACTCATATCAGCAAATAGAAAACAATTTAAAATACAGATGGATCACTTAAATCAAAATTAGGTTAAAGCAAAGTTCACTACAACACAAATGTTACATTCATCTACATGTAAAATAGAAAAAATGAAACTATATTAAGTGTAAATGAACTTAGTACTTATCAAAACAATGATAACCTGTAATGAAAAGAATTATCCCATTGAAAAAGGTATGGTCTTCAGAATAGATGTTACTCAGTTAATAACATAAAAACCAGTGTTAATATCTGTAGAACTTTACTTAGGTCATGCAATGATACATGTATATTTGACAAAATGTTTTTCAAAAGTGCATTAAGGGCATTAAATCCGATATTTATTTGCTCATACACATATCTAACTACAAATTAGGATACAAAAATACTTACTTATACCTAAATTTCTTCGTTTCATTTGCATTAAAAGCATTAAGTTTCGTGAAGAGTATTCGAATAATGTTGATAAAAATCACAAAGTTAACCTGTAAATAAAAAAAAACAACCATATCGTAAAAGTGCACAGTGAACTGAAGTCTTTTTGGGGAGGCATTTCAAAATCTTATTTCCATTTGTCATTGAATCACCACTGGCTTTTACAATTTTTAAATAAACAATGAACTTTGTTTCCTACGCCTTACTCTCCAAAACGAAGACGAGTCTTTGTTCAACGGGATAGGACATATGTTAATGAGACTTTTGTATATTTGGAAACAAATGATATAATGCAACTAATCACTGTTTTATATAATTCCGTTGATGATTCGAATCATTTAAGGCGTTTTGAATAAAATTTACATTATAATCTATTAAAATCCCTTACCACAACAGATGCTACTATAGGACCACGTAAAATCCAGAAGTACCCCGGAGTAGGGTGAGTATTCCAGCACCTTCAGAAGTGTCAGAAAACTTTATTATTCAGCACAATTTATAACTGTTCAAGCAAATACACTATTTTTGATATACATCTATCTTAACCCAGATAAGTTTGAAAATAATTTTTTTTTCTGTAGATATAAATCATAGGACAAAAATGTTTATAAGAGGATAAAAAAAACCCTACAGAACATCTTCTAATGTTGCTCTGACTATCACCCAGGGTACAACACACACCAGCTGTGAGGCTGAAAACATTATAATAGAATTTAATTTATTAATTTACCATTTGAAAAAAAAAATGTTAAATTGAAATAGATTCTGAAAATTTTTTATTTATTCTTCCTCAAATTTTTGCTGAATCAGAATGCAAGTCATATGTCTTGCTCCTTAAATTCACAAGAATTGTCTTTCCTTCAAAATATCTTTCATCATAAGTATTCGCTTTTTCGCCATATTTAGCTGTTTCATAATTAACTTCATAAACAAGGTGTAATTTTAACAAAAGCACCCCTTTAGAGTTCCTGGAATTTTTACTAATTCAATTTGTTTTAAATTGACAGTAATTAAGAAGTAAAGATTTGAACATAAGCACAAAAATTGTTCTGTCATCAACAAATACACGTGCACCTCACAACTTCGACTTACCCCATCCAAACAGAACCAGCCATTTAACACCACTCTTCTCTGAGAAGACTGCCACTGAGACGAGAAGATGTAAATACAGGCCTTCCACCAAAATCCACATGTAGTTAGCGCCCAAGAAGTAGTAGAAGATGGTAAAGAAAAGCTTACACTGCCAATGCTGAACAAAGGGAAACATTTTATTTATACTCTCTAAAACACCATGTTCATGTTATAGTATCTTTGTATTATTTATTTCAGTAAAAAACATTTTCAGTTCTATATTTTATGTCAAACTTGTATTTATTTTCAGCAAACTTTATATATTGTGTGTGCCTTTTATAACTCTAATGTATGAATTCAATAACTCATTATTTTATATTTCTCATAAGTCATCATTATCTCGTATGTATCGCAACATTGCATTTCATATGTGCTATTCAAATATGTACATGTATTTTGTTTGAAATAAATAAGCTTACTGTGCCCTCGCTTTTGAATTCTACGTGTCCGTTGTCTGATTCTATGACGTCACCGCTGAATCCCACTCCACTAACCAATAAATTTTCCTTCATGAATGAGAATGCAGCTCGAATCATAAACGACGCAAACAAGTTTACGTGAATTGTAGTCCGTGGACATCGGAGTTTCCTGATTAAAGTGTTACAAGGCAAAAGAAAAATAAATAAATAAATAATAAGAACAACGTTTTAATTACCATTGAAATACGATAGAATAAATATACATGTATAAAATTAAGGAATCTAAATGAAATTGTGCATAATATCAACAGTGCTACAACCATTTTCCAATTTACAAAAAATTAATACTAGTATCTTTTAAAAGACATTTTTTGTTCCGTAAAGAATTAAACAAGTACTATTTAACGCTCAAAACATATATCGTATTCATTAAGTTTAGCATTTATTCCTACATCAAAACTTCCAAATGTAAACAATAGAAGCCATGTAACGTGTTTAAAACAGTGAAATTATCATATTAGTATTTGTAGAGTACATTCAGTCAAATGACTAGTTTTGAGTAGACCATCTTTAAGATGACATACCTAAACATAAGCATGATGACAGTGGCCAAGAGTAGAGACACGAGAGAGACGCCATAACCAATAGTGTACATCATAGTAATGGACGCCATGTGGTCCTGTGAGGAAAAGCAAACATTAAGTACACGTAAGTACTAATTACTGTAAGTACTAATTATAAGTACAGCGTACTTTATTATTTTTATTAATGCAGATGATAAAGTCGCAGATGTACATTGTATGAATGGATCCGATGTATTGTAAAAGTCATTTTTAATTTGAAATTACAAATTAAAATATGCTTTTTACAATAATTTTTTATTCTATCAAAGTCTTACTATCCGTGGATTTTTATTACATGTACAGTTATAGCAGGCGACACAGGCGTTCCTTGGAACACTCTAGTCAAATTAAAGTCTTCTACGCCTTAAGGAGGGATTCTTCTCATATTTCCTGTATTTAAAAATTAATGAAATTTTCATAGATTCAAGAAGACATTATCACTAAGTGATGGTATCAGTTACACGTAGATTGAATTTGACCGTTTTATTTTAGCAAGGTTAGGTCAAGGTCATTATCTTTTTCCTTGACATTTAGATTAAAAAATTACTGTTGCTAATCATGAGATGCCTACTTCTATTTTAAAAGTAAAAATGCTTTTCTTTTTACACAAAAAGATGTAACCAATTCGGGTCTATCAGATGATTCTACCAAATTAATTGACATAGTTTAACTAAAAGACATATTGGCTAATCCGAATTTCCTCTGTTTTTCTTAATTTTTTTTAGGACATATTAGTTATTTTTATATACTTCTTATATTTAAATATTTCTTATTTTCACATATGATGAAGTAGTCATAGAAATATACAAAATGATATGAAAACAAAAAGATTTTACCGTTTAGTTAGAGAGAAAAACACTTTTTACTGATTTTTTGCTCGAATTTGTTTTTAGATCTGAAGCTTTCAAAAGCTATCAAAATTGTATTTTTTTTAGGAAATCATTATTATTTGCTATAGTTTAATACTTTAGGGTTTTTATTAATTCTAGCTAATTTCAAAATTTCTTTTAAGTCTTTGATTGTTTAAAAAAAATTAACTAAATGTACTGTTCTCTAAGTGATTTTCATAGGCAGAAAAGGAGATATTTTCATATGCCACAGTTGCGCCAATAGTATAGTCCCTGCTGGATTTCAAACTCAGTTTACCATTTCTATTTAAAATTGTACAATTATGATGAGTAAAGAAAAATATGATCTTTTAAGTACATTACAGCTACGTATAAAAGACATATATGCAAATATACTTGGATTATTTCGTCTAGTCAGAAACCAGAGAAGAATCCCTCCTTAATATCAATTACAATGACAAAACATGCAGACTTTTCTACACTTGTATTATGATTCAACAATACGAAACCTTAAAAGCTTCAAGAAATTAAAGCTTAATTAAATTAAACTAAAGCACTACTAAAGCTTAAATACTCCATTTGAGCTTAATCGACTGATTTACTGAAGGAATGATTTGCTAATTTAGATTATGGTTTCAAATTCAACCTAAAACATTTTAATGTGGTTTAATTTTTTTAGTGATATTTTGACAACACCATATGAAATCTTGCTATGGCAGAAGAGATGATTCTTCATCGCACCAACACAAAGGTTTCAAAGGTCTTATCAAGTAAACTTTCTGAAGTCTTTGACAAAGGCACAGTCCCAGTACACTTTAATTAAAACTTTATTTCAAATAAAAGTCTACTGGGACTTGAACTGCCCAGTCTCTACAAAAAAGTGAATATTGTTTTGGTTAAGTCACTTTTACTTTCTTTTTCTTTAAAAATTAAGTATTTTTTGTAAATAAATGTCATGTATCTCATAGTATAAAATAAATTTTCGCCTTATCCCTGTCGCTGGTTTCATATTGGAACAAACTTGAGTTCTAATTTGATTGATGAAATCTTCCTTCTCCCTTTGGTGTTATTTAGAAAGATAATCTAATAAAACATTGTCACATTATCGAAAAGAAGAATACTGCTTGTAAATAGGAATGATGCATTGCAATCAGATGATGTTAAAATTGACAAAAACTGAAACCCCCCAGCAATTTTCAATTTTATTCATGTTATTCTGAAAAAAAATGTGAAACGTTTTACAGAGTTTAAAGTATTTATCGATTTTATTTTGAGTTTCAGTCAGTAAAGTAACAATAAAACAATTTTTATTTTAGTTACGACAAGCATTTTTGATATCTAAAATAGCAAGGATAAATAACTGCCATTATTTGATACATATCTTTACTAGACTTATTTAGATGTGAACAAAGCAAAATAAAGAGAGTACCATTTACTTAAATATGAAATGGTAATATTTTTCTTTATCGTTTCCAGCAATTTGTTTGGCTTAAACTAAATCACAGGATCATTTATAAAACATCTTATAAACTGGGTGTTTTAAAAATGTTTATAAACCTGATATCGATGTTTCTCAAATTGGAAACAGTCTTCTATAAAACAGCAATAGTGATGATGTAACAATATAGTCAATATAGATTGGATGTTCAAGAAAAGAACAAAAACAAAAAACGATACTTCAGCTGCTATTTGTAATTTTGACGTCATTATAACGTAACAATGATTTATATGAGAATGTATTTAGTTTTACATGAAGATATATGGATTTGAAGGATATTTTTCATTAATTGATATAAAAATAATGAAACAAATACGGCCATTTAAATCGGTACAATCCCTAGATATATAGAGCTTAGATAATGCATATCGACCTCGCACTAGCTGATATACATGTATGTCTCGGATTCGCCTCTTCAAAAGGTTCATAACCAAAAAACAAAGATGTTCAGACTTTAATTTAAGGAAACAAGAAATGCTCAGATAAACCTACTGAAATAAAAAATACCTTTTTTCCCCATATGTACCCACGTCATCTTATTATCAAAAGTATGTTCTTTTCTTGTTTACAAAGTCTGTAAAAGTTGTATTGTTGAGGTTTTTTGTAATATTTTTTGTTGAAGCGACAATGACCATAATTCAATTTCTTTTATTAAAAAGAATTGATGTAAGCATTTCTATAATATGATCTGTGAAACTAAGTGAAAAACAAACATATAGAATCTAACACGTTTTTGTCCATGACTTATCATTGACCTTCACTTTGACCTTTTACTTAATAGGCTGTCAGCCATCTCTATCACATATGAGATTAAAAGATCAAATTGATAACCTAGAAATTGTTTCCTCCTCATCTTCAAGTATTATTCACAGGACAGGTATTATATGTCATTCCATCTCTGTTTCGAGAGTATATAACTTCCCTGGTCATCGACCAGAAAAGCTAGGAAAAAAAAATTAAACAATCCTTGCGGAATATCCTTTTCACTGGCACGTAGAATATTTGGAATTAATAGATTATTAATTTCAACCTTACACGATTTTTCATTAAGGATCCCTTAAAATCACTGACACTGAAAACGTTTCCATCTCAGTTGTAATCAGATGTTAGATGTTGTTTGCAGTATACAAGGACTACTATTTTTGATAATGTTAAACCAGACACTTAATAAAAATTACTATTTAAAACCTTTCCTTCATTGTCTAAAGAAAATCTAAGATGAATTGAGTGTGAAAAATTCAAGTCTCATTTATTCTCTCTCTCTCTCTCTCTCTCTCAATGGAATGAAAAACACAATTGTGTCAGTCTTCATCATTCAAAATTGCAATCGAATACAACTGTACTCTTATTTTTTTTAATTATATTGCATTTTTCATAACATAAAAATTAGTTTACCCTATGCCCACCTGGATTAGTTTGGGGACGACAGTGACCCCAGGATCTGGTATGACACACTCCCGATAGTCCGACCAGGTAGAATTTAACTGTGGGATAAATAACCAGGTGCCATTTTCTGTACAGTTTCTGTAAGCTTTGGCTATGTAGGAAAAAAAGTAAAAGATAAAAAAAGATAAATTGGTACCGTATATGATTTACATTCGTTAGTGTTAGGAGTCGAAAACACATCAAATAAATTTACTTTAGTTTATAAATACACAAATAAAGGTTGGGATAATATTAGGATTCTTACATGATTCCTAAATGATATCTAATGATAACTAAAAGTACCTGCAGAATCAAACGAGTTGAGATAATTCGGGCATGGTATAATGGCGGTTTCGCCAGCCTTTGTCTGGGGCCAACAGGCTAGAGAATCCCATGTGGCGGAACAGTAATCGGTTTCAGAAGCTGGGTAAAAATATTGAAAAAACACATTTTTTATTTCATCAGTTATTATTAATATTCAGATTTTAAAATCAATAAATTAATTACTATCATTATAACACTATAATCAATGTGCTTTTCAATCCGAACCCTTATTATGCAAACACACTAGTTTTCTATTTGGTTGTACCCTGGTAGTATCAGAAAAAAAGAATGGCATTTGCGTCAGGGGAGTCTCGGATTACATACACTCTTTAGTCAAGTACAGCGATGATTTTAATTTCGATCTGTTATGTTATCTATCCAATAACCATACACTCTCCATTTATCCTCACTGGCAACACTACAACTACGTTACCATATATGAACTTTCTTCTAATATTGAAGGCGAGAAAATATTCACAACCTCATTAGTTACTGCTTGTCGAGAACTTGGGTTTTAATGCAGATTTCTTTTTTAATTGTTACAAGTTTTTTTTATTCTATGATGTCGATGTAAAACATCTGTGAATGCCTAAAGACTCGGACGCTCTGTCAATCTTTAATATGTGTTTTACCTCACATCCATGAAGTACCTGTTTAATCATATATATTAATTACATTCTGTAGTGTTTTAGGTTCTGGGACGGATTCAACTCTTTCCTCACATTCATCTCATGCTTAATGTCATACTTTATTACGTCATGCCGCAAATCGGTGACAATATGTAAGAACTGGCGTTTATTTCGCCGACCAAAAATATTTGCGACTATCGTTATTGGAGTTAAATGTTCAATAGAGAGAGAATATAATCTCTTTTGTGTTACCCGTCTTATGATAAACTGACCACTGTAATTCAATCACTTTAATCTTTTAAAACCTACAGACTTCATTAATATTATATAAGTTTAGTTTGCAAACTCCATATTTACTACATTGTTGAAGACTGGTAAGATGAGGAAACGTAAATATTTTGGGATTACTTGATCAAATGTCAAGTCCAATGTCCAGATTAACTAAAATCTTTGTCATGCATCTTTGAACGTAACCTATAAACTATACAGATCGTGAATGTTCTAAAGAAGACAACTATAGATTTTAGAAGGGTTTTTTTTTTTCAAATTAAAGGACCAAGACAAGGGTGCAATAATTTATTTTTTTTTTTTACAAGCGCAGTACCTTCAGTAATTCTAGATCTTGTACATCATTTTCAAAACTTGTAAGAAATCTTCACTACATTGATAAACAGTGGTCAGGTAACAGGAAGACAACTATAACTTTTTTGATCGTTCATTCAAACGTCAAGGTCAAATAGTACATTTATAAATGAATACATTTTTATACAAGATTGAGTATACTTTAAGATGCAGCCTCCTATTCAAAACACAATCAAAAGAGGTCTGAGTAGATTCTAAGACAACTACTTCTTACATGTAATTGGTTAAGATCAAAATTATTGATATAAGCATATTACTGGGACTTGTAAACTTTATTAAATTTAACAAATAAATAAAATACAAAAATGCACCTCTAAACTTGAGTATTAAGAGAACTCAAGGAATAAATCCTTTAGTATTCTATGCAGTCAAGGAATCAACATTCCAAAGTAAAAAAAATGACGAAGTGAAAGTTGTTCTTTTGGCCAATAATTTCATAAGACTTCGAATTCTTCTATGGTTTATGCAGTTATTTTTATAATTTTTTCTATTTCTATTTTATTTCCATTTATATGTCGACGCCATATATCGCAGTGAACATGAAATACTAGTAAAAGACATCAAAGAGTCTGACACATTTGTTTCATATTTAGATATTTTACTGACTAAAGACGATAAGGGCCAACTAACAACTAAATTGTATGACAAACGAGATGACTTCAGCTTTTCCATCGTCAATTTTCCTTACGTATGTAGTATTATTTATTCACCTGCAAATGCTGTTATATGTTCCCCTATTGATTCGATACTCAAGAGCATGCCCTGATTACGATCAGTTTTTAAGCCAAGGCAAGCTACTGACAGATAAGTTGATGTTACAGGGATTCAACAACCTCGTTTAAAGTCAGTATTTCGTAAATTCCGTGGTCGTTATAATGATCTTGTCAACAAATATTACCTATCATTGGGTCGTATTTTGGCAGACGTATTTTATGCCAATTGTTAAACCTTTATTTTTATACATGTTCATATACATCGCATCACATAATTCTATGTTGCTTCTTCAACAGAATGGAAAGGAAAAGGACTACAATAAAGGTCATTTGGTCACAACACTCTCCTGAATCAGGTTTTGTTTTCTGACAAAGAAATGAATGGCATCTCTTTTTATGGCCCAATGACATTATTTGGTCATTTTAACTTACAGTGGTTGACACTAAATTAATGAATTGTGCCTTACTCTATATATATGTAAAAATTTGAAATACTCTTAAAAATCCTATTTTCCAAGTTCCCGTGCGAGGTATTAATATTACTGAAACTGCATCATATTGGTGTATTTTAATATTACAATTAATGGAAATATGACAAATATTATAGCAACACTTTTGAAAATTAAAAAGAAATTCATTCATGGGTAAAACTTTGATCACCCACATTGCCCAGGTCATGAGATTAACAAACTTAATTATACAGAGTCAAATAGGATAGAAATGCCTGCACTTTGTTTTGAAAAATTTCTGCTCCTGTTATTATTAAATAGAATAATTTAAATGACTTTAGCCAGATATACCTATGTTTATCCTTGATCCCTATACCATAACGAAAGCTTCCATAAATAGTAAATCAAAATTATTAGTCCCCTACCGGTGAAACCGGAGGGGACTATAGGTTTCCTCTGAGTCTGTCCGTCCGTCTGTCTGTCTGTCTGTCTGTCCGTCCGTCTGTCTGTCTGTCCGTCCGTCTGTCTGTCTGTCAGTCTGTCCCACTTGGTTTCCCGCACTTCTTTTCTTAACGCTTGCAGATATTGAGCTGATTTTTGGTATGTGAGTGTATCTTGATGAGTTACAGATCAAGTTTGCATTTCGTTCCGCTTCAATGATTTTTGAAGGAATGACGACCTTTTCAATTTTTCAGAGTTTTCCGCAATTTTCTTCTAAACACTTGCAGATATTGAGCTTATTTTTGGCATGTGACTTTACCTTGATGAGTTATAGATCAAGTTTATTTTCTCAACGTAGTAAGGGGCATGACTCTTCATTTTCATAAACAATCTCCTTTATTTAGGAATTATATCTTATGTTCAAAATGATACGGTTTTTTAGGGAAAAGCGACAGACGAGTGACATCAGATATACTGATACATTAAAAAAAAAATAATTGAGATTCTGACTCATGTAAACAAATAAAACTCAACGAGTAACATATAAAATGATAGCTACTAAAAGTGTCATCAAATTCCAGGTTACAGAGATTTGATATCGCTCTCTAGAGAATACAAACTGATAAAACAGATACGCCTACAAATGAAAATAAACAAACAACAGAGAAAAGTGTTAGAGTTTTACTACCTCTTAAGTACCTCTACTGAACAAAGAACAGGGCTGGTGACTTCAACAACCGAGGTCACATCGTTATATATATCAACAATAAAAGTATAAACGAAATTTCACTTTAAATAGATGATAAAACCAATGTGACCTTAATTATATTTAATCTCTGGAATTATAATGAAGATAAACAAAAATCCCAGACTGCCTTTTAGTTGAACCAAAACAATCTTTGTCATGTTATATAACTAATGAATACGAGTTGTTAGTTAGGATATAGTGTTTTCCCGGACACTTCAGTGTTTTTACTCACAAACCTGCTTTAATAATATAGATCATTAAAATTTAACTTCTTTGGTATACATTAATTGAAGAAAAATTGTATTTGTTGTTTTCTTTATGTTTTTCTTTTTGACATTGGTTTAGTTTTTAAAAAGAAAGAAAATTTTTGATTTTGTTTACTATTGATTTACATGTATGTTCTTTATTACGAGGAATTTATTTTAACAAGAGGTAAGGGCCTTAACTGTCACCTGAGTATTATTTAGAGGATCCATAGAGTATAAAATGAACTGAAAGGTGAAGCTTTGTTGCCCAAAAGCAAGAAAAATAGGGTGATCAGGATTAACAAAATAATTAGTCTAGTATTCATTAACAGTTCATAAATTAGGTTCTAATCTGTTCCCCATTTATCACTCTCACCAGACAGTATATTAAGAAACTATCAGTGCTTCTGTACTCTTTTAATTCCTTGTGGAAATCTCTTACATTGGCCTGAGTAAGACTCTTGGTCTTTGATGAACATTTAAGGTACTGGTATTCCATCCCTAATAGCCTCAGATTCAATGAATTTGAATACATAACAGATGTGTACGGGTGGAATACTCAGTATATTTAGACATAATCTCCATTCATTACTATTAGCTTGTAAGAATGGAAGTGTCCTAATTTATGACTTGACCTTTGTTGAAGAGTTATCTCCCTCTTTTTTTAAGTAATAAAAATCAATTTTAAAAAAATATACGGTAAAAAATTTGTTTTCAATTGTCATTCTATTTCTAATGATTTAGTGGATCTTTCCACCACAGTAGTTATTGATATTCTTATTATCTGAATTTTTATTTTAAAATAATCGCTTGTCTCCATAGACTTCAATGCAATTTCTATTAATTAAATACTGCTTAGTTAATTACGTTTTTGAAACTTTCACTTGGTAAATCCTTTTCTACTGTAAAGTTCTTTGAATTAATATCAGAGTATTATATACGTGATTGATATTTAAGGATAGAGAATTACTTCCTATTAGGGATGGAAAACCTTAATAAGACAAGTCTACCTGATCATTAAAACTATGAAAGTACTTTTTGTATTATACAATAAAAATTCTTGCATAATTCTCTTATTCTATTAACCTTTCAAGTACATTATTTACAGTGATTAATTATCACAAGTAAATGGCAAAGGGGAATAACTCCTCTCAGTAGAATACAAATTAATAGAGCCCTGGCCTGGACTAGAACACTTGACCAAATGGTCTTGATGTTCAAAAATCTGGTAAAAATACCCTTCCTTATTAAAACTTTTACTCTTTTTGCCTCTGATATGCCCAGGTGCAGAGAAGATTTTTAAAGCATTAATGCATTTTCGATATATAATAAATAGAGTCCCGCCCTAACATCAGAACCTCTGATCCAGGGGTCATGAAATTCACAAATTTGGAAAAGGCATCCTTGCTTATCATAACCATGTATTTGTTTAAATAATACCCAGGAGAAGAGAAGAAGCTTTTCAAAGAAATAATGCACTTTCACTATATGATCTATATAGCCCCGCTCTAGCACCAGAACCCCTGACCCAGGGGCCATGAATTTCACAATTTTGGTAGAGTCACTCTTGCTCATCATAACTATGTATTCAATTTGTTTCAATAATTCCCAGGAGTAGAGAAGAAGATTTTCAAAGAATTAATGCATTTTCATTATATAATCAAAAGAGCCCCGCCCTAACACCAGAACCCCTGACCCAGGGGCCATGAATTTTACAATTTTGGTAGAGTCACTCTTGCTTATCATAACTATGTATTCAATTTGTTTCAATAATACCCAGGAGTAGAGAAGAAGATTTTCAAAGAAATAATGCACTTTCACTATATGATCTATATAGCCCCGCCCTAACACCAGAACCCCTGACCCTGGGGCTATGAATTTCACAATTTTGGTAGAGTCACTCTTGCTTATCATAACTATGTATTCAATTTGTTTCAATAATACCCAGGAGAAGAGAAGAAGATTTTCAAAGAAATAATGCACTTTCATTATATGATCTATATAGCCCCGCCCTAACACCAGAACCCCTGACCCTGGGGCTATGAATTTCACAATTTTGGTAGAGTCACTCTTGCTTATCATAACTATGTATTCAATTTGTTTCAATAATACCCAGGAGTAGAGAAGAATATTTTCAAAGAAATAATGCACTTTCACTATATGTTCTATATAGCCCACCCTAACACCAGAACCCCTGACCCTGGGGCCATGAATTTCACAATTTTGGTAGAGTCACCCTTACTCATCATAACTATGTATTCAATTTGTTTCAATAATACCCAGGAGTAGAGAAGAAGATTTTCAAAGAAATAATGCACTTTCACTATATGATCTATATAGCCCCGACCTAGCACCAGAACCCCTGACCCAGGGGCCATGAATTTCACAATTTTGGTAGAGGGCTCAATGCTTATTACAATCATGCCAACAGTTTGACTGCTTGATGTCCAGGAGTAAAGAAGAAGATTTTTAAAGATTGCATTAATTTTGATGGTTTTTGCCCCACCCCTCAGGCCCCAGGGGGGCAGGGGCCACGAATTTCACAATTTTTGTTCCCCTTCACCCATAGATGCTATATGCCAAAATTGGTTGAAATTGGTTCACTGGTTTTAGAGAAGAAGCTGAAAATGTTCAAAAGTTTACGACCGACAAACGACGGACGACGAACGACGGACGACGCACGACGACGGACGAAAAGAGATAGCAATAGGTCACCTGAGTGACTCAGGTGACCTAAAAAAAGGATACAATGTAAGTCAATAAAATGATGTCCAATTTAACTCTTGAATTAAGAATATGAATTCCCTTTTCACACAAATTTTGGTGAGGGCTTAATCTCAAAAGAATTTTTGAAAAAGAAAGTAATTGTAATGCAAAAAGGTTATACATGTTATATGCAGAGAATAAGGTCTCAAAAGAACTTACATACACCCAATGTAGTTTATGAATAACAGCAAAGATTTTTTTTGTTATTTAGATAAACAAATGGTATACTAGAACGTGATGTTAAGATGATATCAATTAGGTTTGTACAAGGTTATTAAATAGGCAAGATTTTAAGACTGGTTCATAAGTTTCGTCTTTGCCGTAAGTTCTTTTGTTAAGACCTCTGATCGTTGAAACCAGAAAGAAAAAAGTATTGAGACTTTTTTTCAGCTCAAACGTATCTTTCATTTAATTGTTTGATTTCGTATTGCCCTTGTGTATTTACTGTTACAGGTTTTAAAAGGATTCACATAATGTCGTCTTAATAAAGTGCTTCTTAAAATTGACAATGAATCTCAACTCGCCACAGCTTTTATACATATCTGTACCTACACTCATTTCGACGGATTATATCAGATTATAATACCAAAATTACATTAATAAAGTAAAATATGCATTTCTTATTGGTTCACGTCTCCAGCTCTTTCTTTTCTTTTTTAATTAACCTTTTCTTCGTCTCAAGGTATTATGATAAGGTAAAAAATATATTTGTGAATATAGCGTTACCTTAATGCAACGTCGAAAATGTCATTTCTTTTATAAATTGTTTTCGACAGTGGTTTTCAGAAATGAAAAAGTATTTTTCAAGAAGGATTTAAGATTTATTTCTAAATGTGCTATACATACATGTATATGTTATAATCTATATAATGCGGTTCTAGTATAATTTTTCAAGCTTGATTCTCTGAAAAGTTTCTTTTAGTTCTGTTCAGATTCATCTCGTTTGTGTAAATTTCCCCTAGCTTTCTTACTGGGAATACAAATAGCTGTTTTAAGTTAATCTAATCAAATAATTCAAACTCACCATTTTGAAAACTAGAATTCTTCTGGGAGTCTAGAATGTAGATGAGACATCTGTGCATTGCATCGTTCAACAGTTTTGTTTGCTCCTCCAAGGATACAACAACAATATTCTACAAGGGAAATTAAAAAATAAGTGATGTTATCGCTACGTGTAAATTAACAGAGCAACCTAGGTACTCCAAAATTATGATAGCTTCTTTTATTGAGAGAGAGTTCCATCTTGCTATAAGCATCAATGTTTTATAATTGAGTGTGGGATGTTGTATAAAGACCACTATGATATTTTATTTAAATCTATAGAGTTAACAAGTACAATTAAATAACAAATATATGCCTAAACAACAGATTTACATGTAGAATAACAAAATGAAACTGAAAAATGAATAATCTCCCATGCGTACCCCTTTGACTCTGGCTAAAAATAGAACCAGGAGAAGGGAAAATCCAAAACACCATGCAGTCATATCTTGGTGACAGCTATTAGGTCACGTGACGAGCTAAATGAAAACGGATAACAAAGGGATATGAATTAACTGTACCTAATATGAAGTAAACGTTTGGAAAAATTTATCAATGGTATCATAATTCCGTCTAATCTATTTGGTATATTTAGAATGAAGACAGGTAGAAAGAAGGACAAAATCAATTTAAGCGGTTGCAAAACATGCACTCGAAAAAAATTTCATGGTTATACATACATGTATGTTTACATGATCAAAGATATTTCGAACTTAAATGATAAAAAAAAACTTTTTTAGAAATTATATTTTTCTTTTCATATATGGTTAAGTTCAATTCAATTTTTTTGATAGTACATAATTAAATTTCAAATCACCATATATATATATATATATATATATATATATATATATATATATATATATATATATATATATATATATATATATATATATATATATATATATGTATGTATGTATGTATGTATGTATGTATATTTTTTTTAAGGATCCCTGTTCTTGATGAATAATCACAATCTAAAACAGGTTTATAAAGCAAAAAAATGAGGCTATACATCCTATACTCACGTAGAAATATTCTGGGACTCGCATTCTCATTGCTTGCGTGCCTTTTAATGGGTCTCCATACAATGATCTGAAGCAGAAAATAAAGTAATTCAATATATTCCAAAACATCCTATACTCGTGACAAATCAGGGACCAAGCAAGCTGTTCTTAAGAGTTAATGCAAAGATCAAATTTCCCTACATCCGTATAAGAATTAAAATAAGTTCAAGGAGTAGTAGCGGTAAAAAGCAACTGAAAGATGCTTTTATCGCAGACCCAATTCATGTGAACCTGAAAGTCAGATCGTGTTCGATTTGTCAGTTGAATGAAAGGGAGATTTGGCTTCAGTTTCCTGTAGGAAACCCCCCCCCATAGGATTCTATATTTATGCCCCCGGATCGAAAGATCCCGGGGGTATATTGTTTTTGTCCTGTCTGTCTGTTTGTCTGTTTGTTTGTCTGTTTGTCTGTCTGTCTGTTGTCAACTTTAACCTTGCCCATAACTTTTGATTGGTTGGAGCTATGACTTTCATATTTCACATGTGTATTCCTTGTGACAAGACCTTTCTTTGGGTACCATCATATTTGACCTTTTGACCTTGACCTTGGAGTTTGACCCACTTTTACCAAATTTTATGAGACTTTAACCTTGGCCATAACTTCTGAACAGTTGGAGCTTGGGGTTTCAAACTTCACATGTGTATTCTTTGTGACAAGGCCTTCTTTTGGATACCAACCACTTTGACCTTTTGACCTTGACCTTGGACTTTGACCTACTTTTGAAAAACTTTAACCCTTGGCCATAACTTTTGAACAGTTGATGCTTAGGGTTTCAAACTTCATATGTGTATTCCTTGTGACAAGACCTTCCTCTGGATATCAACCACTTTGACCCTTTTTACCTTGACCTAGGAGTTTGACCTACTTTTGAAAAACTTTAACCTTGGCCATAACTTTTGAATGGTTGGAGCTAGGGCTTTCATACTTCACATATGTAATTCTTGTGACAAGACCTTCCTTTGAATACCAACGACTTTGACCTTTTGACCTTGACCTAGGAGTTTGACCTACTTTTGAAAAACTTTAACCTTGGCCATAACTTTTGAATGGTTGATGCTAGGGCTTTCATACTTCACATATGTATCCTTGTGACAAGACCTTCCTTTGGATACCAACCACTTTGACCCTTTGACCTTGACCTAGGAGTTTGACCTACTTTTGAAAAACTTTAACCTTGGCCATAACTTCTGAATGGTTGGTGCTAGGGCTTTCATACTTCACATATGTAATCCTTCTGACGAGATCTTCCTTTGGATACCAACCACTTTGACCTTGACCTTGACGTTTGACTTTTATTTAAAAAACTTTAACCTTCACCATAACTTTTGAACAGTTGTATCTAGGTCTTTCAAATTTCACAGGTGTTTTCCTTGAGACAAGATCTTTCTTTGGGTATCAACATTTTTTATCTTTTGGCCTGGATTTCGACTTGCATTTGAGAAACTTTAACCTTCGACATAAGCTGCCATACGGGGGCATTGGTACTATTACTGAATAGAAATGCATATTTGTAAAATAATGAAGGCGCAAAACTTTTCATTTCTATGTCATTTATACAGCCTTGGAAGTAAAAAAAAAAAATAGACACACTTGACAATGCTCAATAAAATATTTTCTCCTTACAACATTACTGAAGGCTACTGCTGCTGTTTGAAAAGATAGGTTTCCTCCTTTTTTTATTATCAATTTTACTATCAATATAAAATTTCATTAAGAAAAAAAAACATACATTGTACTAGTAATAACACCAAAAAGTAGCATTATAAATTTGATTTGTAGCAGTTTCGAAAGCACAAATTTTCACATTGAAATGAAAAATGAATACATTATCATAATTTTACAATACCAAACTAAGTTCAATGTCAATAAAATCAGAAAAATATATTAAGTAGGGAATCAAAAGCTCAAGGAAACTTATACTTTAAAACACCAAGAATGGTTGAAATTGATCAAAAAATTAAAACATGTCGAGAAGCAATGCGTTTTGTGCCATTATGATTATGGAAATGGACAAAAACCGTGGCTCGCGACAATGGTCAAGAGTTCTATAGATCAGATGTATCGTAAAGCATTTTCTAAGAATCTCTTGTTCCTTTAAACTCGCATTCATTGAGCTCGAAATGGTTTGCGATACATTTTACTCTCTAACTGTTGCAATCCTTATAGTTCAGCTGAACCTATGTGTATCCTTAAACCGATACGTATTCCACGTACGAGTGAATAGACCTACTACATAATGAACGATAACTCGTACTATGAGCGATAACTCGTGTTCGCCTACCTGTACATTGTACCATCTAGTGTTAATCCTTACCTCTGATATGCAACCTTATTGAATGATTTGTATGTCGACGAAAGCATGTCCCTATGAACACAATGCACGAAAGGTGATTCAACAGTAGCACTTAATGTAAAATTATCCGTAATACAAAACATTTTTTTCTATTAAGAAGCGTTAACAACGGGTTTAAAAACATTTTTCAACAAAGATTGATGAATTACGTTGAAAATTATTGTCTTTCAGAGATATATCGAATGATTAAACATTCAGAACTTAATCAGAAACGTTTTAGTCAACGCTTAGTTATATTCTTTCCTACACTTATAGAGGCATAAACATTGCAGTTTTCAAAAGTCATGTTTTCTGAAAAAAGTTTAGCTTGTTTCATAGGGACTAATTATTCAAAAAAAGAAATTTCATAATTCTGTGAAGCTTCCTTGTTTTGTTCTCTTGTTTTTGTTTGTTTGAATGCTTTGTTTATGTATTTGTTTGGTTATTTTTAGCTAATTAGATATATTGCTTCAAATTAGATATTCCATATAGACATATTTTTTTTACGTATCATGCTTGTAAAGCTGTTTGTGAGCCTCTTCACTACTACATCTCCGAATTCTTCATAATCACTAGTACTTCCATAATTTTATCCATACTTAAATAATGTATAATGAAAATTAACATTAAAGATCAATGGTGCGATATTGATCCTAATTGACCCTAATTATCAAATATAAAGTATATGAAGGATAGCTATTTTTCACAGTAAGGTTGTATGTTAACCCTTAATAATTAAAGAAATAAGAAAGGTGAGATTGAAAAGCGATCCAGTCTTTAGTCTTTCAAAATTCCGAAAAGTTTACTTGGCTCTCTCTGAATTTTTAACAGGAAGCTCGATGTGTCAAAAAACGACTTAAGTATAAAAGTTTATGGCAGAGTAAGGATCTTTTTCTTTTTGTCGAAATATCATCGAGAAGTTAATTTGTCTAGACAACAACAAGTTCTTTTGTGAATTCCAAAATGTTCGTGTTTTCCTAGTTTGACTGTGATTTAAAGATAGTAGGGGTTTTTTTAGGTCTTCTCAGTGAAAAAGCAGACATTTTAGCTGGAAGAACAAAGTTATGTATTAAATTCCAACGTTTTGTGACATATCTGGAACACGCCAAAAACTATCCGACAGCAGAGGACAGAATTATACTGTCTGCTGCTGCTGATGGTTGTCAATGAGTTCACAGTGTCAAATAATTCATTAGACTATAACTAACAAATATCATCAAATCAGAAAGTTAATTATTAAATTCCTGCCATTCCCTTTACATGTATATAGAGTCTTTATATTTAGATTTTTATATATAAAGAGCTTCAAGTTTACAGATTTTATACACAATCAATGCATAAAACTTTATCTTAACTTCAGTGAAGCAACTAAAATAGCTGATGCTCAAATAAATGAAAGGTATCATTTAACATATAGGCATTATCCAGAAATCAATCGAATCAGAATTTATTGTTTCTATTTTTATGTCTGTAAAAGTTATGATCCTCTTTCTCAATATCAAAACTAAAATGCCTTTTTGTGATGGAAGAAGATTATTTTCGTGTCATTAACTGCACTATTCTTTGAATTGGAACTTGCTTTCGTATTTGTATGCAAATCAAAAACAAGCGAATTACGCTTAAGTGCACGACTCCTAAAAAGCAATTTGCAAATAATGATAGAGGAAAATAAGACACGAGAAACTAGAAACACAAGCAGCGGTAAAATGTCATTGAAAAAATACACATAAGACATACAGTATAATTCTTAAGCTCATGGACAAATAGCCCTTAATGAGGAAAATATATGTTGCTTAAGAGACCACTGATCATTAAAAATTATTTTACAAAATACTCGATCAGAAAATTGCATGGTATAACTATCATTTAATTTGCATAGTTCTGTCTTGTAAGAAGTTCCACGAGAGATTTGATGAACCAGTCAAAAAGATGCTCAGTCACGTGTTTCAGGAACAGGAAGTTTCGCACAAGACAGTAGCTTCAATGGTCTGAACTTGAAAAAGTTTAAAAAAAAAAAAAAAAAAAAGTACAGGGTGCACTTTGAATGTAATTTATTTATTTCAGTCCAAAAATCAAATCATTAAAAACTAGAAAGGCGTATTCTGTTATATTCAATTTTGAAGAATTCTACTGGAAAGTACTAGCAAATTAGAAATTTTTTTCTATTATTGTAACAGTGTAACAGAAGTTTTCATTGAAATTAGAAATGAATTCATTTATCTTGAAGTTTTGATGAATTCTACATTTGTGTATGTTTCATTCAAATCAAAAGTGAAATGTTTAGGAATTTGTAATAATTTAGCAGATATTGTAACTTTAAGTTACATGTAAGATGTACTAATTCATTTAAAAGTATTCGTGAACATTCGTTTTCGGATCTTTCATTTCTTGTTGATGTTGTAAGTGATGGATACATGAAAACATGTTTCACATTAATCGTGCTAGTAAGTTAATAAAAAGACTAAGTTTGATCAATTTCAAAACATTTTTTAAATTTCGTATCTAAAAATGTTGTTTTTACTCAGTGTAAAGAGTTTCGTATTGTGAATTGTAATAGTGTAATTAAAGAACTCAACGCGATGAACCTTCTAGGAGAAAAATGCAAGGTGCCCGATCACAGTATACTTAAGTTTGAACTAGTCTTTGGATACACCGTACATGCAGATGTTGATGTAAATAAAAGCAACCCGAAAAAGC